CTAATTGTGAAGATATTGTATTACAGGACTTCAAGGAGCTAAAGCTGAAAGAGAACAAAGATTACAATGGCGGCGAAGTCAAGGGAGACGAATATCTTGATCACAATCAGGTCAGTCATCAGTGATGTCGGTAACGCTGCCATTTTTTTAATTGTCAAAAATTTCACGATATTTTACAGTCCGAATTCCTCTGCCCTGTCACAGCTGTACCTATGAATGGCGTCAACGGTTTCGTAGTGAATTGGAAATGTGGTTGTGTCTTTTCGGAAAAAGCTTTGCAAGAGGTACTGCCTAGTTTCACTTTCGTTTCCACTCAACTCTGTGATAAGCACTGATGTTTTGCGCTCCAGGTCAAGTCTGACGCGTGTCATGGATGCGGTGGTCCATGGGACCCAAAAGAATCGGTCGTGTTGAACCCTGATGACGAACTCCTCGAAACTTACAAGCAAAAGCTAGCCGCTGAGCGGGCGGAGAAGAAGCAAAAGAAGAAAAATGGTGAAGCTGAGAAGTCGCCTGAAGGCAACGAGAACAAAGTGGTCGTCAATGGCTTACCAAAGAAGGATGGCAGCGATCACAAGAAAAAGGATGGTTCGTCGTTTACTTTGAATATTTGATTTTTTGCGAGGAGTTGCAGCTGCCATTATTTGTTTTGACATTATGAATGGAAGCCCTGATTTTACTTTGAGTTCCACGCACATTGAACCCGCTTTCTTGAAATTTTAGAGTTTTAAGGGGTATTCTATCGTTTTCGTTTTTTATTAATGCTTACATAAAACAAACTTAATTTGAAGTGTAGCGTTTTTTTCTAAACCTCATATTCCACAGAATCGCGTTATTATTTCATTTTCTAGAGGCGGATAAATGCAAATTGAAGAAAACAGAGAAGAGAAAAGCGGAAAGCGATATTCAGTCGGATCCTACAAAATCAGACGCTTACAAGAAGTTATTCACAACCTGTGAGGACGCAAAGAATAAGCCTGCACAGCACTGGGTCACTTATAATCCTTTGTATTATTGAATGAGTATTTCATTCTCGAGTTTATTCCTTTTGCCATACAGTGTAAATACCTCTCAAGCACTTATTAGTGTTAGTAGTGAGTTCAAGTGATACTATAGTTAAGATTTCATGTCATTTTTAATTTTCTTTGCTTCTTTCTGCTACAACAGTGATTGCGATCTCTGTATAAAATGTTCACCAAGTGGAATCTAGCGAATTGGTGAATCATGTAAGATGTGGTTCTCGTCATTTCGTCATTATGAACTTGTCACTTCAAAAGCATGTGCTTTTACCATCTCTCGGACTTTGTTACTCCCTTTCCAAACAGTTTTATGTTCTCTAGTGATTGTATGCAGATGAAAATTAGTGCATCAAAATATTTGTCTTTTGGCAACCGTTTTCTTCTTCCGGATAATAAAAGTTGGTGGTTGCTCCGATGTGTGGTGTGATTCGCATTACATGGGTGTCCTTGATTCCCCACATATTCCTAGAAATGCTTCCACAGTCGTCTACAAAGTTCACAGCTGAGAGATCGAGGTCTAGGTTCTTGGTTTCCTATCAACGGCAGATGTTGGCTTGGTCCGTGCCCGTGGCGTTGCGAACGGAGGGCTCTGTTGCGTGTAGAATGGTCCATTTCACGTGCCGCTTTCTTCTGCAATCAACAGGTTTGCTTTTGTCACTAAGTCATATTTCATAAGTGCTTCATAATATTTTACTTAATACATACTAATATCTTACTCACTACTATTTATATTACTACTATTACTCTTATAAATGCTCTTAGTTTTTGCGAGAATTAAATCTAAGTTTCATCATTATGCCCATGGATTATCTGTCTGGTCTTTTCGATTTCTTACCTTCGTAGTGGTTGTCCTTTTTGAGGTGAGCTGTCTGTTGTCTTAAATTGTTTTGGCATTCCAAATCTGTGAGCAGATTTGGTGCAAAACAATTATAAGACAACATTCCATTTTTTAAAAAATGTTTCCTCTGCAAAACTGCTACATCTTGAACTATCTTTGTCAAAAAAATTATGTACAAGCGTTAGTGTGCAACTGTTGCTCAGACCAGCCCGTGATTGCCCTTACTTGCCGTTATACCTCTCTGCCTGCATCTAGAACAAGACATCGAACACATGGGATCTCAGGGATGTTCTATACCTACCAGTAGTTGGCAAAACCAGTAGTTGGTCTTGATTCATGTGCAATTTTATGCTTATGAATCATGAATTATTATATTTATTGTGAGGGTTATGCACTGCACCCTGTCGAGGTGCTTTGAGATGCGCTCGCTCCGGGCGCATTAACATCGGTTCTCCCAAATCGTTTAGATTTTCAGCGAAACCTCCTGTTTTCACTCCCACACCTCTTAGTATTGAAGATTGCAGTCGACGCAGTCGCATTCAAAATGGAAATTCCTATCAGCTTCCGTTTAAAACCACGTAATATCCTACCAGACAACTTCTTCAGTTTGCCAATATTTCGCTGACATGATAAAATGTGCAAACGTTAGTACTAAAGATACAGCATTTGACACCGTGACACTTTGAGATTTACTTTTTATTCTGGAAACCGCTAATACCGATTAGAGTACCCGTAATAAAAACTACATGATTGATGAAACTGCATGACATGATGTATAGTCCAACATTCAAAATGCCGCTATTATTTGGAATGGAAGTAGAATGCGTGACGAATTCTAGAACGCCGAACGTTCTTTCCCTCAACCTTCATGAATCTGGTATTATGGAAACAATACCTTTCTTACAGGTGCGGCAGATATCATCAAAAGACATCTTCAATTATACTGCACAGGTAATCTATTTACAAGCAATTAGTCATGTAATGATACAGTACGTCTCACTAATGACTGGTAGATAGGTAGCTCCCGATGTTCCTGCGATGCCATTGCCACCGCCTCCGATACGAACTGTGGAGGAGATGGTTGAGGTAAGACGTTTTTTCGATCCCGTTTTCCAGCCCAATTCTTTTCTTTATTTGAAGGCTGATGTTGGTCAAATAGCCTATATCGTTCGTCATCAGTATCTGCTTCTTGACGTGTTTTGAATATATCAAATGTTTTGGCTTTCTATCGTCTGCGCATGAAATTACTAAGATTTGGAGACTACCTTCATATTTTTGATTATGTATTTTGAAAAATGTCATTGCCATTTACATGAAATACATGTTGGAGTTCGAAAACTGTGCCTGAAACACCACAAATCCTGATGTTCATGCCTCAATAAGTGTTGCCGCTTCAGGCAGGTGAATCAGTTTTGGGTGAGCTCGGTTTGCTGTCCTGGTGGAAGCCGTCTAGCTATTTCCGAGTGGCGTTAGAAGCTATACACATGCATGCCGATATTCCTTGGTGGACAACCATCGTTTGCGGTGAGTGGAAACCTTCCCTTGGAATCGTCATATGAAGCTCTTGATGTTTTTCTTAAATTTGACTCTCATTGATCTTCTGTTTATCGGCATTCTATCAGAGTAACCATTTATTTTC